TGCGCCATAACAAATGGTAAATAATTATAAACACCACAAATAACAAACATATTACAAAAATAAATAAATAAATAAACAACAGCAACAAAAAAAACAAATACATACATATTAATAACAAACAAGAACAAACAAAAAGCTAAAAGATAAATAAATAGATAATTAAATAAATAAATAGTTAAATTTCTTTACACAAATTAGTGACTTTTAAAAAGTCTAATACAGTGAAAACTGCTTACGCGACCACCTGCATTCGACGGGCACCTGTCAAAACGGGCAAAAATTTCTGGCACGAAATAGTTTACCCATAGAGTCTTTGTATAAGTTACCTGTATTAAACGACCACCTGTGTAACGCGACCGCGGGCATTGATTTTTGGTCCGAAACAACATATAACACCTGTAATAAGCGACCACTTTCGCGAATGTATCTGGTCTAAACTATTGTAAGAACCCATCTCAACAACGTTTCCCCTTCCTAATATAATAAATTAGTCTAAACTCTTGTTCGAACCCATCCCGGGCACTTCTCCCACCCTCGAAATTAGGTGCAGGTGTTAATAAATTAGTCTAGCAACAAAAGAAATTCATTTGTTTGTTGGAAAATGTCCGAAAACGAAAGAAATGTGCTTTCGTTGGAAGATCGTATTAAAGATATCACAACAGCAATTAGAGGCGAAGTTTAACTGTGGAAAAACAAAATTGATTTTACCGTAGACCTACAGTATTTTCCTTGGGGGTGTAAAATATTGTACACGATACAATTAATCTGCTGATCTCATCGTTTGATTAAATCTATTTTTATTTATTTATTTTGAAGCTCATATACAGTACACGTGCGATAAATAGTTTCTGTATCAACCTACCTTATTTCCACGATATTTTTAGAAAAATAATATCCAAGTAATTTTCGCAGGCAAAATATTCAAAAAACAATAAACGCATTAATGCAAAAATCAGTTTTACTTCCTTTTTCGATTCCGCGATTGTAATGAAATCGTATAATGAGAAAAAATAATAAAATCGTTTTATTATTAATTAATAATTTTTCTTATTGTACTTAATTAATTAAGAAATTATTAAATATTTAAAAAATACAGTATTTTTAAAGTTAAAATAAGATTAAACTAACGAAAACCAAAAGCAAAGTGATGGAGAGATAGAACGCGCTTGTATATCGATGACGTAATACATGTAACTGAGGAGAGAACGATAAGAACCAAGTCGAATTAATTAAGTCGGAAAAAAGAAAATGTGTATTATAATCGAAAAAATGCGAGTATTGTATTAATCTTTAAAATAAAATACAATACCAATATAGGCCTATCGTTGAAAAAATTCGCTTATTTTTGCTCACCTCGAGTTTTACTTAGTAGAAATGGCTAAAAAGTACGCAAAATACGTACGAAAATACGTTATTACGAAACCACCTGTATTGGACGACCACCTGTCTAAAAGACCACTTTTTGAAAGAACCGCGGGTGGTCGCCATAGACAGGTTTTACTGTATATCTATATCATAAAAATTGGGCCTCTGACCCAGAATCTGTTTAAAACTTGCATTTCCAAAATGCTGCCTACACCTGGTCTCAAAAACAGAGCAATCGAGCAGTATGTGTTTTACAGTAAGAGGACAGTTGCAATACTGGCATACTGGCTGCTCGTCACCCTTCAAAAGGTATTAATGAGTCAACCGAGTATGTCCAATTCTCAAACGAGTAATAATAACTTCAGATCTCCTGTTATAAAATTTCTTGTGTGTCCAATTTTCTATTGTAAATTTGATCTCATGCAGTTTATTGTGGACTTGTGAGTTTCACATATTTTGCCATTTCTCTGCTAGTCGTTTTTTAATGACTAGCTTAAAATCACCTCCTTCAATACGCATTGTGTGCTGTGACAAACTAGCTGATTTTGCAGCTGCATCTGCTTCTTCATTTCCTCTTATACCAACATGGCCTGGGACCCAACAAAATTTTATATAGAAATTCCTTGCAAGAAGATGGCAAACCAATTTACAAATTTTAATCACTATAGAGTGAGAACTAGGTTCACACGAGATCAAAGCCTGAAGTGCACTAACTGAGTCAGTGTAAATCACACAGCAACGATGACCTTTCCTATTTATATACTTTAAAGCTAGATAAATGGCATGCAACTCTGCAGAAAAGATGGAAGAATATCGTGAAATTTGTTCTGCCACAATTTCATCCTGGCAGACAAAGGCTGAGCCAACATAATCATCAGATTTAGATCCATCAGTGTATATATGAATTAAATTCCTGTAACTATGTTGAATTTCTGTAAAGTGCTGTCTGTAGATGTAGTCTGAAGTAAATTCCTAAGGAAATTGCTTTAAGCTAAGGTCAACATTTATCACAAGAGTTGACCAAGGTGTTATACTACAGACTTCTAGCTGTGAAATGTTGCATGTGTTCAGATCGATCGTGCTGATCACATTCTCCATTCTTATGGTAAATGTACGGACACTAATAGGGCAAGTTTCAAATAACCTTTTCAGCTGAGTATCTAATACTGTACAATCAACTGTAGGTTTAGTAAGGGATTTTTGTTTTATATAATAAAAGAGAGACAACTGCTCTCTCCTAAGAGATAGTGGAGGCTCATAAGCATCCACATAAGGACTTTGTACAGGAGAAGTTCAAAAGGCATCAGTGCACAAACACAATGCTTGATGGTGGATTGGATCCAGCATCCGAAGAGTAGATTCTCGCGCATAGCCATAAACAATGCAACCGTAGTCCAGCTTAGAGCGGACAATAGCCCTATAAATCCTGAGCAATGAAACTTTATCTGCTCCCCAGGATGAGCAGCATAATACCTTTAAAAGGTTTAGAGATTTTAAACATCTACTCTTCAGGTTGCGCAAGTCCAACAAAAATGTCAGTTTTTGGTCGAAAGAAATACCCAAAAACTTAGTCTCATTCACCATTGGGATTTTAACCCCATTTAAATACATTTCCGGATCCAGGTGCAAACCACGCCTTCGGCAAAAGTGGATACACGAGGTCTTCTCTATGTTGAAATTAAAACCATTAATCTTTGACCAATGGTCTATGCGATTTAGGGAGGTTTGCAGTTGTCTCTCGATGAAACTCATGTTGCTAGACTGGCAGGAGATCTGAAAGTCATCCACATATAGAGAGTATTTCACACTAGGAGGAAGACAGTTAGCTATGCTATTAATTTTAATTAGGAACAGAGTCACACTCAAAATACATCTTTGAGGAACACCTTCTTCTTGGACAAAAGACCTAGATAGTGTGTTGCCCATCCTAACTTGGAATCTTCGATTCTCTAAGAAGTTTTTTATAAAAACTGGCAAATTATCCCGCAATCCGAATTCATGTAAATCACGAAGTATTCCATAACGCCAGCAGCGATCATAGGCCTTCTTTATATCAAAGAATACAGACACTAAGTGCTGCCGTCTAACAAAGGCTTCGCGTATGGATGTTTCAGGTTTTACTAAATTGTCCGTGGTACTTCTGTTCCTACGAAAACCACTCTGATGTGGTGAAAAGTATTCATTTTTCTCTAAGAGATACATCAGACGCCTGCTTACCATTCTCTCAAAAAGTTTACAGAGACAACTTGTCAGAGAGATTGGTCTGTAATTAGAGGGATTCTTGTGGTCTTTGCCTGGCTTGGGAATGGGAATAATGATAGATAGCCTCCAAGAGTTAGGAAAAGTATGTTCAGTCCATATTCTGTTAAACAGAAACAGGAGATTAGAAAGGGAACTGTTTGACAGATTTTTAATCATGCTGTAGTGGATTTTATCCGGGCCTACAGCACTATTCCCCGAGCGAGAAATCGCTGTTTGTAATTCGATTCTAGTAAATGACACATTATATTCCTCATTAGATGAGGAGTAAAAGTTTAAATATTGTTTTTCCTTTGGGCTTTATAAGCCTGAAAATTTCTTGAATACATAATATTGCTGGATGAAGACGAAAATGTTTCTCCCAATAAATCAGCAATACCCTGTATATCGCTGACTATTGTGCCATTATTTTCTAGCATGGACAGAGAATAAGAAGTATATTTCCCATTGATTTTATGGATTTTATCCCAGACTGCTTTTGAGCTAGTGGAAGATGTTATGCTAGAAACATACTTCCTCCAAGAATCCCTTTGGCTTTGCCTCCTTATTCTTCTGGCATTTGCCTTCGCTTTTTGAAAAGCTATCAAATTTCTAGCAGTGGGGTATCTTCTAAAAATCCCCCATGCTTTCTTTTGTGCTTTAAATGCTGCCTCGCAATTCTGATTCCACCATGGTTTCGAATGCTTTGGGTATCTTGTTGATGTCTTTCCCATTGTTTTCTCAGCTGCCTGAATAATACTAGAAGTGACGACTTCAACTGCATCATTGATATTAGCAGTATTGACCATTTCCTCAGTGATGTTAGCCAAAGAGGAAAATGCAAGCCAATCTGCTGTTTCCAGTTTCCAGCGTGCTGGACAGGCTGTTTCACAGCTTTCTCTTTCTTGGTATTTTAGAAATATTGGAAAGTGGTCACTAGAGAGTGGGTTACATCCAACCTCCCATGTACATGCTGAAAACAGGTTTGGGCTTGCTAAGGAAAGATCAATGGTAGTGAACGTTATCGTTGGGGCATGAAAGTATGTCACTTCTCCCGTGTTAAATAAATATAGTTGCTGATTGCCTATAAATCTCTCAATGACTCTGCCATGACGATTAATGTCGGGACTACCCCACATAGGATTGTGGCCATTAAAATCACCAAGTATAAGGAATGGTGTTGGTAGCTGTTCAACCAAGACATCTAATTCATCCTCATTGACTCTGACATCTGGTGGCATGTATATAGAACATACTGTGACAGTTACTCCAATAGAAATTCTGACTGCCACAGCTTGCAAATCAGTGGTTATTTGTACCTGTAAAGATGGGATGCGGTTTGAGACCAGTACAGCCACACCTCCACTGGCACGGTTGTGGCTATCATCATCCTTTCGGTAGAGGTTGAATCCTTTTAAAGAAATTCTCTCCAGGTTTTAGATGGGTTTCCTGGAGTGCCACACAGAGTGAAGAGGTAGATGACGTCAAGTGTTTAATGTCAGAGAATTTATTGCGGAAACCACGACAGTTCCATTGGATTATTTTATGATCCATTATGTGTTTGAGGCAGCATTTTTAGCAAGGTTGTCCCTCTTTAATTTCACAGGGGGTTTTTCTTTTGGAGGTGATGTTAATGGTGTCACCCCCTTATTAATCTCTTCATCAGAGAAGTCAGAGAACTCGCGCATAGACTGAGTCTCTGATTTTTTAGTTTTAGACAGGGCTGCTTTTATTCTTTGTTTATTAAGTGGGTTCTTACTGGCTTTTTTGGAACCCACATTCCTAGTTGTTACCCCTGTTTTAGGTATGAGTGGTTTTGCTTTGTTATTCTCTTTTTCTGTTGCTTTGGTAGATGGTATCAGCAGACATTTTTCATGGCGAGTCAGAGATTCATCGGGTGAAACAGAAATGTCTGTCTGAACTCCACATGTCTTTGTGGATTTCAGAGCAGCAGCGAATGTCTTTTGTTTCACTGGTGTATTTAAGGTGACCATACGACGTGCCTCCGGGTAGGATATATTATTAATAGTCTTCAATCGCTGAATTTCTTTCTCTCTCTGCCATGAAGGGCATTTCCGAGAGTAGGCAGGATGAGCATCTTTGCAGTTCACACAGCATGGAGAACTTGTGCATTCATTACTCTCATGGTCTTCATTTCCACACTGTGCACATGCTTTTTTTCCTCTGCATGATGTTTGGGAGTGTCCAAACCGCTGACATTTAAAGCAACGTAGCGGGTTTGGGATGTATGGGCGAACTGGGCAACAGAGATATCCTGCCGCAACAGAAGATGGCAATGTTGGTTTGTTGAAAGTCAAAATAAGATGTTTCGTTGGTATCAACTTGCCATCTCGACGGATTGAAATTAATCGAACAGCAATGACACCTTGGTCTGAAAGACCGATCTGGATATCCGATTCATCCTCAGACATCAGATTGGTTTCAGATATCACACCACGTGATGAGTTCAGACTTGTGTGTGGTGTGGTAGTGACTTGTATGTCTCCTAGCGATTTCATTTTCATAAGCTTTTCAGACTGTTGAGGGGAGGCTGCCTCTACAAGCAGGTCTCCTGACCTCAATTTTTGAATTTTTTACAGATTCCCAATGGTCAATTCAAACAATTTTTGAATCAAAAAAGTGGAGCGTTTAGATAGGGGTGTTTCTCCCATGGCATGAACGATAAGGTAAGCTGGTGGTAATGCATCAGTACATGTTTTAGGTTTTAATGAATCCATATTTAGATTTTAAAATTCAGCTCCTAGTGACCCCACCCACCATGGGGCCCAACAAGGGGATGCCGTCACATGGGAGACTCCCATAGACTGTCACACCAGGGTTTCCCAGGAGCTATACCCTCACAATGCAGTTAAGAAGAGCACATCTTGTATGACATGTCCGCCCGGTCTGCATCGATCGGTTGACTCCAAGCCGAGGTCAAAACTGACTCAACGACCAGCCGATTGACTCAAACGGAGCCTGATTTGAGCCTCCCGTTTATCCGATGCAGGGGCCAAAGCAGTGTGTTGGGGACGTTTTGTTGCCCCTCAACTACCAGGATCCCCCTTTCCGGCATACGGGACACCACGCACGGCAAACACGTCTGTGGGCGTTCAGATCCCAGGGATGGTAAAGAAGACTTTCTAAACCATCTCTGGGAGGTCCCCTCACCACAGACAGGAACCCACATCGAGGGAGCCTTGAAAGAAAGGCAGTGTCAAAATTGGTTTGCCAAATTTCGTTCTGGTGATTTTTCACTGAAAAATGCGATCTGGTCATCCAGTTGAAGTTTAGACCCATATCAAGGCCATTATCGATTCAGATGATCATAGCACAACCTGTGAGATTGCACAGAAGCTCAATGTATCGCATACATGTATTCAAAAAAAATTAAAACAGCTTGGCTATGTCAAGAAACTGGATTTATAGATCCCTCATCAGCTTAAGGAAATTCATTAGACGCAACACATTAGCATCTGTGATTCGCTTCTGAAACGCAACAAAATTCATCCATTTCTGAAACAACTGATTACTGGCGATAAGAAGTGGATAGTTTATAACAACAATAATCGGAAAAAATTGTGGGTGATGCAAGATGAACAAGCCCAGACAACACCAAAAGCTGAGATTCCCCAAAAAAAAATTATGCTATCAGTTTGGTGGGATTATAAAGACATTCTGTACTTTGAACTTTTACCAAGAAACCAAACAATTAATTCAAATGTGTACATTCAACAACTTGCCAAACTAAGCAATGCAATTCAAGAAAAGCGGCCAGAATTGGCAAATCGAAAAGGTGTTGTTTTCCAGCATGATAATGCAAAGCCCCACACATCTTTGGTCACTCGCCAAAAATTATTGGAGCTAGGTTGAGATGTTTTGTCACATTCACCGTATAGCCCTGACCTTGTGCCTTCAGATTACCATTTATTTCGTTTCATGCAGAACTCCTTAAATTGTAAAATTTTTAGTGACGCTGATGATGTAAAAACACACTTAACTCAGTTTTTTGCTGGCAAAAATCAGAAGTTTTATGAACATGGAATTATGACACTGCCTGAAAGATGGCAAGAGGTCATTGACAAAAATGGACAATACCTAATTGAATAAAGTTATATTTTTAAGCAAAAATTTTGAATTTTCCTTCTTATTTAAAATCTTCAATCACTTAGTTGCCAACCCTATATTTTCAGAATGTGTTAAAAAAAGAATTGTTGTTAATTAGAAACACCTGTTTATGTAATGGGATGAAATCGGGAACTGTGATTTTGTGTCGTATGTGCAAATGTTCTTTTTATATTAAGTGTGTAAATTTGGCTAGAACAAAACAAAATTGGAAGTGTGAATTAATCAACAGCAAATAAATAAATGAACAAATAAAAATTAAACTTTTTATTTATTTATTTAATCAATCAGTAGAGGTTTTAAATTGCACAAAGTTGCAACAACTGTTAATATTTTGTCAATTGTCATCTCATCAGCATCATTTTCTCGTTTGATCAATGAAATCAGAATCGTTGTTGCAAGTATTCTATACCTTTTCATTCTTCCGATAGCTCATTCAACGTGAACTTGTATTCTTGACATTGCATGAGAATTAGTAACATCAGCAGCAGCCAACTGATTTTTATCTTTGGTGCTACATGGAACCAGAAGGCAAACAGATTTTGAGGCTAACAGATCTGTTATTTGAAAACCCCGATCGGCTAACACTGTATCGCCCGTCTAGTAAATCAAGTAGATCACTTTCTTTGGTAAAGANATATATATTTACTAAAATCTCAAAATTTTCCACCACAGAATGATAATATAGTTCACTTCACACCAGTGTTTAAAAATTAAATACAGGACACTTCCGTGTTATTGCTGTCAATAATGCCGTAACACAAAATGTCCTATATTTAATTTCCACCACAGGTTCAACTGTCTCTGAAACTGTATCTGATCAGAATACTGAATCAGGGGAATGTGTGAACAGGTTAAATTCTGTATTATATCTTATGAATTTAAAAAATTATAGCTTACATTATGAAGCAGTTACTTCTAAGATGAAAAGATCTGTTATCCTGAAATAAAACCATTCATTTTATTCATTTATACATTTAACTTATTTATGATAAAATATATTATTCACAAAAATATTCAAATTTAGTCTTTAAAGTAAGTTTCTAAAACCTTAAAAAATCTATAAGTTATCAACATGCTAATGAAAATGTAATATTTTATAGGAAACTACATGGACCACTTCTTCTGTGAAAAAGCTTATAGAGTTTCGCAGAGAAATGTACTTGCAGTTTCAGAGTCCAAGTTGTAAAAAAATAAAATTATGGAGCCGAATAAGCCAAAATCTGAAAAACAAAAGTTTCAACATAACAGCAATAGAGGCAGACAGAAAATGGAGAAACCTAATGCTGACGTACAGGAAGAGGAAAGATCAGATGAAACAATCTGGAGGTGGATAATTTCCCTTTTGGGAATTCCAGGAGAACTTAACTTTCCTTGCTTCAAAAGCAAATGTAAACCCTCCTCCTGATAAATTATCATCATCATCCTCCGCAACTGAAAAAAATGATGTTGAGGAAATTGGTGATGCTTGTACTTCAGACAATTGCCTGGAGAATAAACAGGCACCACTAATCAAAAAATACAAAAAAAGCATGTACTTCCAAAAATGAGCCTCCCAAATGGTTTCAGGAGTATATAAAAAGCAAGAGGATGCAGATGAACAACACTGGAAAAAAACTAGAGGAAACTGAACTAGAAAAATTGAACATTTTAATTATTGTTCAAAAAAAACAAAAAAAAATTTAAATAGATGTTTATAATCAAATGTGCTTGTATCTTAAATTTTAATTAAAAACTAGTTTTATGTATCAGACTCAATTATAATGATAATCATTTCAACTTTCTATAGGCAGGGCTAATGTAATTCTAGTCCTTTTGATAATCTCTCATCTATTCCCTAATCCCATCACATCCTGACTAAAAACAAATTTTCAGGATATTTTAAGTTTATATTCTCTTACACCATTGTTTTTTGTATGATAGAATTACCTGAATTTTGAATTTAAATTTATCTCCTCCCAATTTAATCACCTAAGTCTACCATAGTTACACTTTAATTATCTCTTAATATATTTCTCACACTATCTTTCAATGTTATCCAGTCAACAACCAGTACAAAGTAAAGATAGAAAAAACAATACTTTCTGACTAAAATGCAATCACAAGATTTCTGTTCCTCTCTTCTCTGTTTCAGCTGTTCTTGAGACAGGGCCATTTCTTCTTTCATTTGGTTCTGGTTCTGCTTGGCCGTTTTGCGTCTTTCCTGTCGAGACTTTGTCGATTCTTTAATGCTATAAAATATTGGACCCAATTCGGCCAACCATTGTCCATCAACTGCAGTAACACATTGCATGTATTCCTTACTAATCATCACTAACTCGTGATATACCACGTAGTCTGGAGTAAAACCAATTCCAAATAGGGCACTTGTAGGATGGAGATGGCAAGGCATACCTGTCCTGCAATTGACGTATTCGCCAATGCCTTTAAGTCTGGCCGCCTTGTAGAAATAAGCGGAACATATGCATTTTCGTACAATGTCCCATTCGGTGCAGCAGGAGATGATAGTCATCTTTTGTTGTTCTATAATATATTTTAACAGTTGTCGTACTTCCCGCACCTTTCTCATAGCTTTAATGTGAATGAAGTGTTCGTTGTACCAATTCGTCAAAAAACCGTTATTTTTCCACTAATGATAAACATTTACGCATGTTAAATGATCGCTCTCTGGAACCTGAAATTTTTCTCTAGCTGCGTCACTATCTTCCTCTCTCCCTTTTGGATGATAAAATATGGAAAAAACCGAGAGCATCGATACAGTAATCAATATTTCAGCACTGCACGTCACAAGAAACAATAAGCATTTTTAGCATTGAAACAAGTTCTTCCAGCTAGACATGTCCGTACAAGTCACATGTGACTCGAATGCTGTTAACATGTTAAAATATAATTTGATCTATCGATAATAGTCAACAGCTGAAACTTCACCAGTATACAAAAGGAACTAAAAACACCTTACACACTTTTACAGAGACTAAATTTAAAAATCAAAACAAAATGTTTTCAGCATGATTATTCTAAATATATAGCATTACATAATTGCTGCATGTAATTCTCATAGTATAACTGTTTACAAAAAGTAATATTACATGAATTAAGTATCGAGTCAAACTTGCAGATTCTCTAAAATGTCTTCATGAGAATGTCCATAGTTCATTATAAAAAATTCATTTTTTTTACCAATTATTAAATTTATCAAGAGATGGCACATAATGCCTATCTCCAAATTATTTAATAGTAGCATTACTACAGCACCCATGTAATTCAGCAATTGTTTGATGTTAACCTCAAAGATTAGGTTAAACAATATTTATACTTGGATATAGGAAACAACAGCATATTTGTTCCACATGAAATGCTAAAATAAACTAATTGTATATAGCCTTAGTTTACAATTTCATGTCTTATAAATATACCTTAATAATTTTCTATTACCATTTGTTTAAAGGTATTATTACTGGATTTTTTTTGTTTAATTATATTTCAGTCAGCTTGTTTTGGTTAGAAAAACTAGTTTTTATAACTTACAGGTTGAGAAATGACAAGACTTTTGAATTAGGCTGGACAGTCCTGCTTTTTAATACACTAAGAAGTCTCACTTTGGGACTTTCATAATTATATTTAAAAAGTTAGCCAATATTCACTGCATAAATTGTAAGACAAAAATAAAATGCAAACAAATTACAGCATTAAAATTTTAATACTAAATTAATAGAAAC